TCTCTGGTCTCTCTCTGGTCTCTCTCTGGTCTCTCTCTGGTCTCTCTCTGGTCTCTCTCTGGTCTCTCTCTGGTGTCTCTCTGGTCTCTCTCTGGTCTCTCTCTGGTGTCTCTCTGGTCTCTCTCTGGTCTCTCTCTCTGGTCTCTCTCTGGTCTCTCTCTCTGGTCTCTCTCTCTGGTCTCTCTGGTCTCTCTCTCTGGTCTCTCTCTGGTGTCTCTCTGGTCTCTCTCTGGTCTCTCTCTGGTGTCTCTCTGGTCTCTCTCTGGTCTCTCTCTGGTCTCTCTGGTGTCTCTCTGGTCTCTCTCTGGTCTCTCTCTGGTCTCTCTCTCTGGTCTCTCTCTGGTGTCTCTCTGGTCTCTCTCTGGTCTCTCTCTCGTGGTCTCTCTCTGGTGTCTCTCTGGTCTCTCTCTGGTCTCTCTCTCTGGTCTCTCTCTCTGGTCTCTCTCTGGTCTCTCTCTCTGGTCTCTCTCTCTCTGGTCTCTCTCTCTGGTCTCTCTCTGGTCTCTCTCTCTGGTCTCTCTCTCTGGTCTCTCTCTGGTCTCTCTCTCTGGTCTCTCTCTCTCTGGTCTCTCTCTGGTCTCTCTCTGGTCTCTCTCTCTGGTCTCTCTCTGGTCTCTCTGGTCTCCTCAGCTCCATGTGTGCAGCAGTTTCTTTCCTTTTTCTGTTTTTCTTCTTCCGCATATCCTCTCCTCTTTGTGTCCTTAATGCAGATTAACTGTGTGGGCCGCTGTCAATGACTTCATTCAGAATGTTCAAGGTTCAGAATCCGAGCTTTAGTCTCCTCACTTTTGTGTTCAGGTGATGACGCCAAGAGCCAAGTGAGTCACAACCACTTAGTTTTATTAGAGAAACCCTCTACTGTCAGAAAGGATCTGTCCAAAAGTGGTACTGCAGCCTCTCCCACTCTAATGATGACAGAGTAGGGCCCTTTAATGATGACAGAGTAGGGCCCTTTAATGATGACAGAGTAGGGCCCTTTAATGATGACAGAGTAGGGCCCTTTAATGATGACAGAGTAGGGCCCTTTAATGATGACAGAGTAGGGCCCTTTAATGATGACAGAGTAGGGCCCTTTAATGATGACGGAGTAGGGCCCTTTAATGATGACAGGATACAGAGACAGATATCTATGCACATAAAAGACGTCACTGTATGCAGTGATGGGCAAGCTACTTGATTTGTGTAGTGAGCTAAGCTACAAGCTACTCTACAATAAATTCAGCTTCACTGCACAGAAGCTCCAGAAGGTTGTAGGTTCAATTCCCACCTCTGCACCTTCTCCACCGACTCCCACTGATGACTGCTGTCGTTGTGTCCTTGGGCAAGACACTTAACCCCACTTTGCCCAAAGCCCCCGCTGAAAGATCAAGGCTATGCTCACACTCAGAGAGCAGCCTCCTGTGGACTCACCACCTGCAGAGGGTCAGTGAGGGGCTGGTGCTATGAGACTTGGGTGGCATCTCTGACTGCCACCCCCCTGACCCAGAAATGGATTAAAGGGTAGAAAATGGATGGATGGATGCACAGAAGCTACCACCCATAAACATGTAGCAAGCTCAGTTACAAGATCCTGTCAAAAGTAGTTTGCTATATAGAGGCTTTTAAACTAACTACATTTTGATATTTATTGAACAATAGCCCAAAACACCAACAACAAAACACAAGAAGGCCCTTTGCAATTGTAAATAAAATAAATTGAGAAATTATAGCAATAAGCAATTACAAATTAACATGTATTTCATTAGAACGGTTTTCTAACTGTTGTTTATAACAATATCCCAAAAAACACGTAACAAATGTCAATCAGAGCCAATGAATGACGCTATATAAGCAAGAATACCCTCTGAAACTGAAAAGAAAACACATATATTTAAGTTTACAAATGGACTGTGCTAAGAAATTTGTCTGACCAGTTTAGGAAAACAATCGAAGCAATCATCATACAACCGTCATACAGTCATCATACAACCGTCATACAGTCATCATACAACCATCATACAACCATCATACAACCATCATACAACCATCAACCAGCCATCATACAACCATCATACAACCATCATACAACCATCATACAACCATCAACCAGCCATCATACAACCATCATACAACCATCAACCAGCCATCATACAACCATCAACCAGCCATCATACAACCATCATACAACCATCAACCAGCCATCATACAACCATCATACAACCATCAACCAGCCATCATACAACCATCATACAACCATCATACAACCATCATACAGTCATCATACAACCATCATACAACCATCATACAACCATCATACAACCATCAACCAGCCATCATACAAACATCATACAACCATCATACAACCATCAACCAGCCATCATACAACCATCATACAACCATCAACCAGCCATCATACAACCATCAACCAGCCATCATACAACCATCATACAACCATCAACCAGCCATCATACAACCATCATACAACCATCAACCAGCCATCATACAACCATCATACAACCATCAACCAGCCATCATACAACCATCATACAACCATCATACAACCATCAACCAGCCATCATACAACCATCAACCAGCCGTCATACAACCATCATACAACCATCATACAACCATCAACCAGCCATCATACAACCATCATACAACCATCAACCAGCCATCATACAACCATCATACAACCATCATACAACCATCAACCAGCCTCACTTCCTACAGTAATGACAGTGATGGTTCTGGGTGTGTTCCTACAGTAACGGTCAGCACTAGATCATACACGGAATCGGGACGGAAGCAGTAGTAAATATAACAAACTACCTATTCATGCCTAAACTTAACCAGCCATTCCCATAAAATAACCCCAACCCACCTTAACCCTAACCTTAACCATCTTACTCAGACCCACCTTAACCCTAACCTTAACCATCTTACTCAGACCACCTTAACCCTAACCTTAACCATCTTACTCAGACCACCTTAACCCTAACCTTAACCATCTTACTCAGACCACCTTAACCCTAACCTTAACCATCTTACTCAGACCACCTTAACCCTAACCTTAACCATCTTACTCAGACCACCTTAACCCTAACCTTAACCATCTTACTCAGACCACCTTAACCCTAACCTTAACCATCTTACTCAGACCACCTTAACCCTAACCTTAACCATCTTACTCAGACCACCTTAACCCTAACCTTAACCATCTTACTCAGACCACCTTAACCCTAACCTTAACCATCTTACTCAGACCCACCTTAACACTAACCTTAACCATCTTACTCAGACCACCTTAACCCTAACCTTAACCATCTTACTCAGACCACCTTAACCCTAACCTTAACCATCTTACTCAGACCACCTTAACCCTAACCTTAACCATCTTACTCAGACCACCTTAACCCTAACCTTAACCATCTTACTCAGACCACCTTAACCCTAACCTTAACCATCTTACTCAGACCACCTTAACCCTAACCTTAACCATCTTACTCAGACCACCTTAACCCTAACCTTAACCATCTTACTCAGACCACCTTAACCCTAACCTTGACCATCTTACTCAGACCACCTTAACCTTAACCCTAACCATCTTACTCAGACCACCTTAACCCTAACCTTAACCATCTTACTCAGACCACCTTAACCCTAACCTTGACCATCTTACTCAGACCACCTTAACCTTAACCCTAACCATCTTACTCAGACCACCTTAACCCTAACCTTGACCATCTTACTCAGACCACCTTAACCTTAACCCTAACCATCTTACTCAAACCACCTTAACCCTAACCTTAACCATCTTACTCAGACCACCTTAACTCTAACCTTAACCATCTTACTCAGACCACCTTAACCCTAACCTTAACCATCTTACTCAGACCACCTTAACCCTAACCTTAACCATCTTACTCAGACCACCTTAACCCTAACCTTAACCATCTTACTCAGACCCACCTTAACCTTAACCTTAACCATCTTACTCAGACCACCTTAACCCTAACCTTAACCATCTTACTCAGACCACCTTAACCCTAACCTTAACCATCTTACTCAGACCACCTTAACCCTAACCTTAACCATCTCACTCAGACCACCTTAACCCTAACCTTAACCATCTTACTCAGACCACCTTAACCCTAACCTTAACCATCTTACTCAGACCACCTTAACCCTAACCTTAACCATCTTACTCAGACCCACCTTAACCCTAACCTTAACCATCTTACTCAGACCACCTTAACCCTAACCTTAACCATCTTACTCAGACCCACCTTAACCCTAACCTTAACCATCTTACTCAGACCACCTTAACCCTAACCTTAACCATCTTACTCAGACCACCTTAACCCTAACCTTAACCATCTTACTCAGACCACCTTAACCCTAACCTTAACCATCTTACTCAGACCACCTTAACCCTAACCTTAACCATCTTACTCAGACCACCTTAACCCTAACCTTAACCATCTTACTCAGACCACCTTAACCCTAACCTTAACCATCTTACTCAGACCACCTTAACCCTAACCTTAACCATCTTACTCAGACCCACCTTAACCCTAACCTTAACCATCTTACTCAGACCACCTTAACCCTAACCTTAACCATCTTACTCAGACCACCTTAACCCTAACCTTAACCATCTTACTCAGACCACCTTAACCCTAACCTTAACCATCTTACTCAGACCACCTTAACCCTAACCTTAACCTTCTTACTCAGACGCCTAAAACTTAACCAGTCACCACTTAAGGACTTATTAGTCTAAAACTAAATCGAAAGTAGGATTGTTACTTCCGGTTTTGTCCTGATTCTGTATATGTTCTAGTCCGACCCTACAGTAGTGACAGCAGTGATGGTCCGGGGTGTGACCTGGAAAGATGTGGTGGGAGTAGATGGACTGAGATTAACGAATGAAATGAAAACCTCAAACCCTGTGTTGACATTTCCAACGGAGCTCCGGATGGGGCTGGATTATTGCAGGCTCTCCCTAAAGACACACAGACTCACGTGAGCACAGGGACCGCCTCCTCCACAGGGACCGCCTCCTCCCCAGGGACCGCCTCCTCCACAGGGACCGCCTCCTCCACAGGGACCGCCTCCTCCACAGGGACCGCCTCCTCCCCAGGGACCGCCTCCTCCACAGGGACCGCCTCCTCCACAGGGACCGCCTCCTCCACAGGGACCGCCTCCTCCCCAGGGACCGCCTCCTCCACAGGGACCGTCTCCTCCACAGGGACCGCCTCCTCCCCAGGGACCGCCTCCTCCACAGGGACCGCCTCAGCCCCTCCACAGGGACCGTCTCCTCCACAGGGACCCGCCTCCTCCACAGGGACCGCCTCCTCCACAGGGACCGCCTCCTCCACAGGGACCGCCTCTTCCACAGGGACCGCCTCCTCCCCAGGGACCGCCTCCTCCCCAGGGACCGCCTCTTCCCCAGGGACCGCCTCTTCCACAGGGGCCGCCTCTTCCACAGGGACCCGCCTCCTCCCCAGGGACCGTCTCCTCCCCAGGGACCGCCTCCTCCCGCCTCCTCCACAGGGACCGCCTCCTCCACAGGGACCGCCTCCTCCACAGGGACCGCCTCTTCCACAGGGACCGCCTCTTCCACAGGGACCGCCCTCCTCCCCAGGGACCGTCTCCTCCCCAGGGACCGCCTCCTCCCGCCTCCTCCACAGGGACCGCCTCCTCCACAGGGACCGCCTCCTCCACAGGGACCGCCTCTTCCACAGGGACCGCCTCCTCCACAGGGACCGCCTCTTCCACAGGGACCGCCTCCTCCACAGGGACCGCCTCCTCCACAGGGACCGCCTCCTCCACAGGGACCGCCTCTTCCACAGGGACCGCCTCTTCCACAGGGACCCAAATCTGCCAATTTTTGTTCATGTCAAATTATTAGTCTGGTTTTGCCTACTATAGTAAATACATGTTCATTAGTCTACTCCAGTGGCATTCAATTTGGTCCTTAAAGTGCTGTGTGGCTGCAGGTTTTCAAGTAAGGCCAGTCTCAACCAGGAGAAAGGTGTAGTCTGGCTGAGGCTGTAGACCCAGGACTGAGGCTATAGATCCAGGACTTAGGGTGAAGACCCAGGACTGAGGCTGTAGACCCAGGACTGAGGCTGTAGACCCAGGACTGAGGCTATAGATCCAGGACTTAGGGTGAAGACCCAGGACTGAGGCTGTAGATCCAGGACTGAGGCTGTAGATCCAGGACTGAGGCTGTAGACCCAGGACTGAGGCTGTAGATCCAGGACTTAGGGTGAAGACCCAGGACTGAGGCTGTAGACCCAGGACTGAGGCTGTAGACCCAGGACTGAGGCTGTAGACCCAGGACTGAGGCTGTAGATCCAGGACTGAGGCTGTAGATCCAGGACTGAGGCTGTAGATCCAGGACTGAGGCTGTAGATCCAGGACTTAGGGTGAAGACCCAGGACTGAGGCTGTAGACCCAGGACTGAGGCTGTAGACCCAGGACTGAGGCTGTAGATTTGGGACTGAGGCTGTAGATCCAGGACTGAGGCTGTAGACCCAGGACTGAGGCTGTAGACCCAGGACTGAGGCTGTAGATCCAGGACTGAGGCTGTAGATCCAGGACTGAGGCTGTAGACCCAGGACTCAGGCTGTAGACCCAGGACTCAGGCTGTAGACCCAGGACTCAGGCTGTAGATCCAGTACTTAGGGTGAAGACCCAGGACTGAGGCTGTAGATTTGGGACTGAGGCTGTAGACCCAGGACTGAAGCTGTAGACCCAGGACTGAGGCTGTGGACCCAGGACTGAGACTGTAGACCCAGGACTAAGACTGTAGACCCAGGACTGAGACTGTAGATTTGGGACTGAGGCTGTAGACCCAGGACTGAGGCTGTAGACCCAGGACTGAGGCTGTAGACCCAGGACTGAGGCTGTAGACCCAGGACTGAGGCTGTAGATCCAGGACTGAGGCTGTAGACCCAGGACTGAGGCTGTAGACCCAGGACTGAGGCTGTAGACCCAGGACTGAGGCTGTAGACCCAGGACTGAGGCTGTAGACCCAGGACTGAGGCTGTAGACCCAGGACTGAGGCTGTAGATTTGGGACTGAGGCTGTAGACCCAGGACTGAGGCTGTAGACCCAGGACTGAGGCTGTAGATTTGGGACTGAGGCTGTAGATTTGGGACTGAGGCTGTAGATTTGGGACTGAGGCTGTAGATTTGGGACTGAGGCTGTAGATTTGGGACTGAGGCTGTAGATTTGGGACTGAGGCTGGATGTTTGAAATACATCACATCCATTCAATGTTTTCCCCAGCCGAGCTAACGTTGCTAACTCTGCTAACGAGGCTAATACTGCTAATGCTAACACAACAACAAGACGACCAGAGCAAAGCGATCTCAGTCTTAGATAAAGTGACATTCATTGGACATTACTTGTTGTCAGGGTTAGTGTGAGTCTGCTTTTTTGTCTGTGTGATTTTGAGAAAGATTTATCATTGTTTTTATGCAGAAATATGAGAAATTCCAAACACTTTTTTGGCTACTGTTTTGGACATGGGCCCAGTTATAGAATGAATGGTTCCGGTTGCTTCTGGATTTTTCTGAAATCACAGCCTTAAACACTTGTGGCATGTGCGTAAAAAAAACAGTCGAAGCAGAAAAGCTCGTCTGCATCATGTCTCAGAAATGATCACAGCGGCTCTCGTAGATTCCAACGGCATTACATAAGACTGCTGCTGCTGCGTCATGGAAACACTGAACTGTTAGCGCTCGCAGCTAACACACACACTCACACACGCATACAGGTTTTCATGCTCAAAGAGGACGTTATTGATAATAAATGTTTACAATACAATAAAAAGTACATTTTAAAAACAAAATATGTAAGATTTACATGCTGAGTCATCATTAAAGAGCCCTAATCTGTCCTCATTAAAGGGCCCTAATCTGTCATCATTAAAGGGCCCTAATCTGTCCTCATTAAAGGGCCCTAATCGTTCATCATTAAAGGGCCCTAATCTGTCATCATTAAAGGGCCCTAATCTGTCATAATTAAAGAGCCCTAATCTGTCATAATTAAAGAGCCCTAATCCGTCATCATTAAAGGGCCCTAATCTGTCATCATTAAAGGGCCCTAATCTTTCATCATAAAAGGGCCCTAATCTGTCATCATTAAAGGGCCCTAATCTGTCATCATTAAAGGGCCCTAATCTGTCCTAATTAAAGGGCCCTAATCTGTCATCATTAAAGGGCCCTAATCTGTCATCATTAAAGGGCCCTAATCTGTCATCATTAAAGGGCCCTAATCTGTCATCATTAAAGGGCCCTAATCTGTCATCATTAAAGGGCCCTAATCTGTCATCATTAAAGGGCCCTAATCTGTCATCATTAAAGGGCCCTAATCTGTCATCATGAAAGGGCCCTAATCTGTCATCATTAAAGGGCCCTAATCTGTCATTATAATAAACTGCTCTTTTCCAATACTTCTTTAACTGATAACAGTAGTACTACTACTACTACTATATAATTTCTAAATTATTTTTCCGGCCCCTAAATCTTGTTATTGTTTTCATTTCGATGTCCCGCCCCCCACCGTTTCACCAATCAGAAATGTTTAGGCCCGGACTGGGTTAAGGGTTCTGCTGCTTTGATGATGAACGCACAAGAGTTAGAAAAGACTTATTACACAGTGGTTTGTTTCCTACGACACTGAACATCCTGCTGCACAAGTGGTTAGACTGGATTTTACATGTTTTAGCACCACACTCTGTAACACACACACACACACACACAGGCAGACACACGCACACACAGACAGAAACACACACACACACACACACACACACACACACACACAGGCAGACACACGCACACACACACAGAAACACACACACAGACAGAAACACACGCACACACACACAGAAACACACACACAGACAGACACACGCACACACACACACAGAAACACACACACAGACAGAAACACACGCACACACACACAGAAACACACACACACACAGAAACACACACACACAGACACACGCACACACACACAGAAACACACACACAGACAGAAACACACACACACACTTGTCCTTGTTGAACCTGACTTGCTGCTTACACAAATTAATGCTGTAGGAACATTCAAGATGAAAAGTAAAATAAAAAACAATTTAACTTTTAAACTACATTAATTTTTATATTTTAATTTGTGGAAGTTTGCAGTGTTTCCCTGAACCTCAGTCCTGGGTCTACAGCCTCAGTCCTGGGTCTACAGCCTCAGTCCTGGGTCTACAGCCTCAGTCCTGGGTCTACAGTTCCATTACGTTTTAAGTCAAATACAAAATACTTCCGCAAACATCTTGTACAAACAGGAATTCCACCCGGAGTCTCCGTGTGTGTCCTGGAGCGTGGTGCGTGGAAAGGGAATCCCGCGGAACGCCGCCCTCCATTTGTAATCGTTTGTTTAAGACGTGTCCGGGCCGGAGTTCAGTTCCGTGTTTGTTTATCGACAGCTCAGAGGTCGGGTTTCCTTATGTTGGAATCTCAATCTGATTGTATTCACCTTTTTCTTGGTTCTAATACTGGTTTTTTGTTTGTAATTTAGACTGAGCTCTGAAGAGAATCCAAAAGATTGTATATTAAAGGAGCAGTAAGTATAAATGTGGCCACAAGTGGTACTGCAGCCTCTTTTTGTCAACAACAAATCTATAACCAACACCTTTTTCACAAAGATAGAAATCCTGGTTTTTTCCTTGTTTTGTCGTTAATGATTTGAGAATCATAACGAGACCTTTTTTAGTTCTGCGCCACATGGTACTTTACCAGTGAGATTAGCTCCACATGGTACTTTACCAGTGAGATTAGCTCCACATGGTACTTTACCAGTGAGATTAGCTCCACATGGTACTTTACCAGTGAGATTAGCTCCACATGGTACTTTACCAGTGAGATTAGCTCCACATGGTACTTTACCAGTGATATTAGCTCCACATGGTACTTTACCAGTGAGATTAGCTCCACGCGGTGAGTTCTGGCGTCGGGATCACGGACTTTCTGATTGGTGAAACGGTGGAGGGCGGGACATCGAAATGAAAACAATAACAAGATTTAGAGGCTGGAAAAGTAATTTAGAAATTCAAATATCTCTGAACGACTGTTATCAGTTAAAGAAGTATTGGAAAAGAACAGTTTATTATTATGACAGATTAGGGCCCTTTAATGATGACAGATTAGGGCCCTTTAATGATGACAGATTAGGGCCCTTTAATGATGACAGATTAGGGCCCTTTAATAATGACAGATTAGGGCCCTTTAATGATGACAGATTAGGGCCCTTTAATGATGACAGATTAGGGCCCTTTAATGACGACAGATTAGGGCCCTTTAATGACGACAGATTAGGGCCCTTTAATGACGACAGATTAGGGCCCTTTAATGATGACTAAGAAAATCTGGTTGAACTGATAGTGTAGAAACGGAGGCCCTTGAAGGAGACTTATTGTACAGTCTTGGTGTCAGACTGTACAATAAGTCCCTTTAAGTCACTAATGCACTAGGACTGAAGAACCTGCTGCTGTTGCCACTTTGTTTTGTACATATTTATATCCTGCACAGACTGTATTTAACATTTCTATCTGCGCCAAATGTGACATGTTTCACTGTGAGATCAATGAAGTGTATTTATCTTAAAGAACAGGCAGAAGCTTTGCTTCTTTATCAGCTGTGGTTAAAACCACCTCCTCACCGCAGGTCAAGCCTGTGGTCAGTACCCACCCCGCCCACTGTGGGGCGCTACTGTCAACCTCTGGCACAAACATGTACCTCCTGTAATTGTATGATGTCCGGTATGACGTCACTCTCAGAGCAGTCTTTTACCTTTTACAAATGTCTTGTTCATAAAATAGTTTTGGTAATTCATCAGAACAGCTCCATCTGGTGGTAGCTCAGGGATAAGGCAGAACAACAGCTCCCTCTGGTGGTAGCTCAGGGATAAGGCAGAACAACAGCTCCCTCTGGTGGTAGCTCAGGGATAAGGCAGAACAACAGCTCCCTCTGGTGGTAGCTCAGGGATAAGGCAGAACAACAGCTCCCTCTGGTGGTAGCTCAGGGATAAGGCAGAACAACAGCTCCCTCTGGTGGTAGCTCAGGGATAAGGCAGAACAACAGCTCTCTGTGTGTGTGCGTGTGCGTCTCCCTCTGTGTGTCTCTCTGTGTCTCTGTGTGTGTTTAGAGCTTGAGGTATAAATCCATAATTGCCTATTCCTCTGTGTGTGCGTCTGTGTGTGTGTTTCTCTCTCTCTCTCTGTGTGTGTGTGTGTGTGTGTGTGTGTCTCTCTCTCTCTGTGTGTGTGTGTGTTTAGAGCTTGCCTCTGTGTGTAGCCTGAACAGATGTTGCTAATGCTTTGTGTGTTCTTCATTATCACTAAATTAACAGTAAAGATAACGACCGTCATTAAACGTTTTCAAACCTTGTCCGGGGGAAACTTGAACCTTTTTGACTCTGAATAACTCCTGGAAGAATCTGGGGCGGAATTTAATTAAATAAGCAAAAGAAAAGATAAAAGTCATTTGTCCTCCGCAGAGAAACAGTCTTTTTCTACAGGTTGCAACTTTGGGATTTGTGAATAAGGCTTTTTTTTAACGTATATAAAAATGTTGGTCAGAAATAAAAGTAATAATAATAAATACATAAAAATACTTAACAGTTCATATTTGGCCAAACTCATGCAGCTCCGACTTCATCCAATTATGTCCCAGAACTTCCAGTTGTGTGTCTGTGTGTGTGTGTGTGTGTCCGTGTGTCTTTGTGCGTGTCTGTGTGTGTCTCTCTCTGCCTGTGTGTGTGTCTCTCTCTGTCTGTGTGTGTCTCTCTCTCTGTCTGTGTGTGTCTCTCTGTCTGTGTGTGTGTCTTTCTCTGTCTGTGTGTGTGTCTCTCTCTGTCTTTGTGTCTCTCTCTCTGTCTGTGTGTGTCTCTCTCTCTGTCTGTGTGTGTGTCTCTCTCTGTCTGTGTGTGTCTCTCTCTGTCTGTGTGTGTGTGTCTCTCTCTGTGTGTGTGTGTGCGTCTGTTTGTGTGTGTATCAGAATGTATTAAGGTTTTATATGTATTATTTCTTAAACTTCTTGTTTAACTCATTTGAGCACAAACCAAACTCCTGGATCCTGACTTCCTGCTTCACTAATCCTTAAGTCTGAGGTCACGCAGCTGAACGAGGGGTCAGAGGTCGACGGAAAATCCATACAGCCGTTGCCATACATTACTTTTATTTGATTCGAGCCGTGGCCATAAAGGACCGGCGAGATAAAGGACTTCCAGGAGTGGGGTCCATTTGGAGTCCCCCCCCCCCCCCCCTACCCCGCATCCCTCACCCCCCCTACACCCCCCCCCCCCCCCCCCCTCACCTTGGCTGTGTCTGGAGCTGAGTGACAGTGATGTAAAAAACGTGAGGATTAGGAGGTAGGACTTAAATCACGCCGAAGTATTGATTTTTCATTACTGCAGACTCCTCGGACAGACGGCTGCAGACCACAGGATCTCACTCTGGGCCAGACCGGGCTCCAAGGGTCCCGGCTCAAAGGGTCCCGGCTCCAAGGGTCCATTGTCCAATGTATTTTTACACCCATCTTCTTTCCTCTTAAAAAAGGATTTACAGCCTGATCCAAAACTGGTTCTTGATCCAAAACTGGTTCTTGATCCAAAACTGGTTCTTGATCCAAAACTGGTTCTTGGTCTAAAACTGGTTCTTGATCCAAAACTGGTTCTTGGTCTAAAACTGGTTCTTGGTCTAAAAGTGGCTCTTGGTCCAAAAGTGGTTCCTGGTCCAAAAGTGGTTCTTGGTCCTCTTGGTTCCAGATGGTGGATGATGGTTCTGTGGATGTTGAGGGGAGTATTTGTTTTTGGACCAGTCTAGTTTTGTCTCTGTGGACTTCAGAATGCACTCGTTAAATGCACTAATATGTTTTTCACATTTTCCTGAGAGAAAAGACAGCAGGAGGTAAGAGTGATGTCACACAGTTCCAACAGTGGGCGTGGCTCTGGTCTTTACAGGCCGTGGGTCAGACACATGACGTGGAGCAGGAGGGTTTGGAGAGTTAATATCACAGTAGAAGTATCAGTATCTGGTTCTTCCACAGCAGACCGTAGGTTTAATGGTTTAATGGTTTTAATGGTTTAATGGTTTAATGGTTTACTTCAGTCTCGGTCAGAGATAAATAAACGTGGGTGTAAAGTCAGAGTGAAATGTGAAATGAAGCGTCTAAAGTCAACCTGCTGCTGCTCAGCCTCATTAACACAGAAAACACTACAGAGTGGACTCTCCTGTCCCTCGGAGACCTCAGAGAGACCTCAGAGAGACCCTGGAGACCTCAGGGACCTCAGAGAGACCTAAGAGACCTCAGGGACCTCTATATACTGTATATATATATAATATATATATATATATATATAGAAAGCAATTTCTAAGGTTTATATATATATATAAACCTTAGAAATTGCTTTCTTTGAATAAGCCTTCTGATTATTGACATCATGAGTCTTTTACTATATTTACAAATGTGTTCTTCTACAAACCAAAGCTCCATGGAGCGCAGAAGGGAAGTGCTCATGGACAAAGTTTTGCCCCAACTCGTTCTGGCTCTTATTGACTTAAAAGTAAAGTCTTGAACTCACTGGAGGATGTGTGCGGAGTGGGCTCCTGTGTGGTTGGAGTGAAAACCTGCCCTTGGACGACTGATTGTCTCGGGTCTAAAACATAAATGAGGTGAAGTAAATGTTTTCTTTTTCTCTTGCAGTCGATCCAGATCCACAAACCTCACTTCCTGGCTCTGCACTGTCAGGAAGTGGGAGGAAAGAAGTGTGGGATGGCCAACGTGGACAGTTTTGTGACGTAAGTCGCTCTGGGACGTTCTTCACACGAGGAGGACTCTCTCTCTTTATATTACTACTATGTATACTATCTCAGTATCTATCTTTCTCTTTCTATATCTCTCTATAAACATGTTTTAAACCATTGTGTGATCGATGGTTGGGATGGACCAGAGCCTCTGATTGAGACTCAGACAGGAGACTGAGGGAGCAGCGCCCTCCTCTGGACAGAGTACATTACTGCTCAACACAAGTTTGAACTGTTCAATATTGGACAGAATAATACAAATATCAGTAATAATAATAATGATAATAATGTTGCCTCACGTCTGTCAGTCTGCCCCAGGGCAGTTGTGGCAGTTGTAGTTCACTCCATGGTGTGTGGAGTGAACGCAGAATGTTCTAAGAAGCTTCTCGACCAAATATCGTCTAATTAATGAATATTATCATCTCCAAAATTATATCTTGCATCAATATTTTTGGATTGGATTATAGAAGCCTCTTGTTAGATACATGTACAGTATAGATATATACATGTACAGTATAGATAGATAGATACATGTACAGTATAGATAGATACATGTACAGTAAAGATAGATACATGTACAGTATAGATATATACATGTACAGTATAGATATATACATGTACAGTATAGATACATGTACAGTATAGATACATGTACAGTATAGATAGATACATGTACAGTATAGATAGATACATGTACAGTATAGATAGATACATGTACAGTATAGATAGATACATGTACAGTAAAGATAGATACATGTACAGTATAGATATATACATGTACAGTATAGATATATACATGTACAGTATAGATACATGTACAGTATAGATACATGTACAGTATAGATAGATACATGTACAGTATAGATAGATACATGTACAGTATAGATACATGTACAGTATAGATAGATACATGTACAGTATAGATAGATACATGTACAGTATAGATAGATACATGTACAGTAAAGATAGATACATGTACAGTATAGATAGATACATGTACAGTATAGATAGATACATGTACAGTAAAGATAGATACATGTACAGTATAGATAGATACATGTACAGTATAGATAGATACATGTACAGTATAGATAGATACATGTACAGTAAAGATAGATACATGTACAGTATAGATATAGATACATGTACAGTATAGATATATACATGTACAGTATAGATATATACATGCACAGTATAGAAACATGTACAGTATAGATAAATGTACAGTATAGATAGATACATGTACAGTATAGATAGATACATGTACAGTATAGATACATGTACAGTATAGATACATGTACAGTATATATAGATACATGTACAGTATAGATAGTTACATGTACAGTATAGATACATGTACAGTATAGATACATGTACAGTATATATAGATACATGTACAGTATAGATAGTTACATGTACAGTATAGATATATACATGTACAGTATATATACATGTACAGTATAGATACATGTACAGTATAGATAGATACATGTACAGTATAGATAGATACATATACAGTATAGATACATGTACAGTATAGATACATGTACAGTATAGATACATGTAGAGTATAGATATAGATACATGTACAGTATAGATAGATACATGTACAGTATAGACATATTCATGTAAAGTATAGATAGATACATGTACAGTATAGATACATGTACAGTATATATAGATACATGTACAGTATAGATAGTTACATGTACAGTATAGATATATACATGTACAGTATATATACATGTACAGTATAGATACATGTACAGTATAGATAGATACATGTACAGTATAGATCGATACATGTACAGTATAGATAGATACATGTACAGTATAGATACATGTACAGTATAGATACATGTAGAGTATAGATATAGATACATGTACAGTATAGATAGATACATGTACAGTATAGATAGATACATGTACAGTATAGATAGATACATGTACAGTATAGATAGATACATGCACAGTATATATACATGTACAGTATATATACATGTACAGTATATATACATGTAGAGTATAGATATAGATACATGTACAGTATAGATAGATACATGTACAGTATAGATAGATACATGTACAGTATAGATAGATACATGCACAGTATATATACATGTACAGTATATATACATGTACAGTATATATACATGTACAGTATAGATAGATACATGTACAGTATAGATAGATAGATAGATAGATACTTTACTGACCCCTGTAGGAGAAATGTAGGTGTCCAGTAGCAGCAAAAATAAAAGATAAAATTGATCATTCTAAAAAGCTAACAATAGTAATAATAATGTGTCCTTTCTGGTTTAGTTTAGTTTAGTTTAGTTTAGTTTAGTTTAGCACAATGAGCGGCTTCATTAACTTTTGGAATAATAAAGAAGTCACTATAAATTATTATTATTTTATATGGAAGACTACTGGCACCTTAATTCAATTGTCTATTCATTTGTCAAATGGCTATGCATTATGTTATTTTAGTATTTATTTTGTATTCTTATTTGTCAAAGTGTAATGTTATATCCAATTTTGACATTTAATGTTCTATTCCAAAAGTTCTAACGGCAATTCAATATGTAAAGTGTCGATACAATGTCTTTATATATTGCAAATTACAAGATTTTGAAATGAATAGCATATTGACATTGTTCTGTACTTCTAACTACAGTGGGCACACTTGGATCTTCAGACGCACTCCGAGTCAGCACCGTGCGGAGAAAAACACAAGTTGTGAACTGTTATGCTAAGGTGGCCCTCAGTTGTAGCCATAGTGTACACTTTATGGTTTTAGTGCGATTTATTCCTAATTTCCTATATGCTCATTCCTCGCTTAAAATAGCAGAGTTACTGCCCTTCAACTTGTTAGCAACAGTTCACAACTTGTGTTTTTCTCCGCACGGTGCTGACTCGGAGTGCGTCTGAAGATCCAAGTGTGCCCACTGTAGTTAGAAGATATGCCATGTCACTGTCTGAATCAGCTTCACATTAACTGTGACTGGTGACCGACCAAGAGCAGCCCGTTTTTAACAGATACTCGTCTCTGATTGGCCGAGAGCGGACCAGGGCCCGCCTTCCCAGGGGTCAAGAACTGCATAGCATATTGAATTAAGTTGCACTCAAACCATGTGGCAATGCAATATGCAATATGCAATATGCAATATGCAATCCAGAGGGAGGTGCTGTTTCACAACACATTAAATGAAACTTAACATACTCAAATGTGGAATACAAGTCAAAATAGGATATAACATGCAATTTTGCCAAATACAACTCTAAACTAAATGCCATGTTAAGAATGAATAGAACAATGAATAAAGAGGCCACATTTCCATGGCAATATGCTATTCATTTCAAAATCTTGTAATTTGCAATATATAAAGACATTGTATCGACACTTTACATATTGAATTGCCGTTAGAACTTTTGGAATAGAACATTAAATGTCAAAATTGGATATAACATTACACTTTGACAAATAAGAATACAAAATAAATACTAAAATAACATAATGCATAGCCATTTGACAAATGAATAGACAATTGAATTAAGGTGCCAATAGTCTTCCATATAAAATAAAATACTGTATATTCCAGAGTAAGTCGTCCTGAGGCGTCTCTACTCCGAGCTCCCCCTGTGTGGTCGAGTTTCTCTCCCTCCAGTCTGTCAAAGCACGCTCAGCACAGTGGCTGAGTCGTTAGCCCTCTCGCTTCTCAGCAAGAAGGTCCTGGGTTTGAATCCCGGCCAGAACAGGGTCTTTCTGAGTGGAGTTGACATGTTCTCCCTGTGTCTGCGTAAGTTTCCTCCAGGTGCTCCGGTTTCCCCTACCACTAAAAACATGTACAGGTGCAGTGAGTGAGTGGAGGGTGTTTGGTCGGAGGCTTTGATGGACCAGTGTGTTCTGGCTTCACCGTGTGAGAGAATGGAACAATATCATGACGTTTGCAGTGATATGTGTCTGTCCTCAGGGAGCTGCTGTCCAGTGAGGCCCTGAAGGAGTTCAGCGCAGCACGCGTCTACCTCGACAAGAACTACATGTCCCAGGAACACTTTACTGTGAGTACTCTGCTCAAATACTCCAGTACTCTCTGCTCACTGTGAGTACTCTGCTCAAATACTCCAGTACTCTCTGCTCACTGTGAGTACTCTGCTCAAATACTCCAGTACTCTCTGTTCTCTGTGAGTACTCTCCTCAAATACTCCAGTACTCTCTGCTGGTGTGAGAACTCTCCTTAAATACTTCAGTACTCTCTGCTGGTGTGAGTACTCTCTTTAAATACTCCAGTACTCTCTGCTCACTGTGAGTACTCTCCTCAAATACTCCAGTACTCTCTGCTGGTGTGAGTACTCTCCTCAAATACTCTAGTACTCTCTGCTGGTGTGAGTACTCTCCTCAAATACTCGAGTACTCTCTGCTCGCTGTGAGTACTCTCTTTAAATACTCAAATACTCTCTGCTCACTGTGAGTACTCTCCTCAAATACTCCAGTAGTCAGACGGTGTGATGGTTGTGATGTGTTTTTAGTTTTATGGCACATTTATAAACAGCTTCAGAAGTGTTTGTGCAGTTGCAGCAGTTGCAGCAGTTGTCCACACGGGGGCAGGAGACACTTAAGAATGAGCAGAGTTTCTTTCCTGTTTCGTTTTGGAACATTGTTGTTTTGTTTATTTGGTGATTTCAGTTTATTTTTCTATTGTTCAATGAATAATGTCTTTTTAACATTTTATCACTTTGAATTATTGATGTTTTGTGTTTTCTGAAATTAGATAAAGATAAGTTTCCGCTTCATCAAAACGTTTCAACTTCAACTCAACTTTTTTTAAATGTTCAAACCCACAAAAACAATATGTTGCACGTTTGTCTCTTGGGACAAACATGTATTAATTATTCAAAAATCCAAAGTTACGTACCCCAGCTTTAAGGTGTTTCAGTCTCACGTCGGTTTAGATTAAAAGCCTCAAAGGTCAAAGAAACGAAGCAAGAAAAACGAGAATGAAAAAGAAAGAACATCTTTTTACATTTTGTGAAATCCCAGATTCAGAATTGATGTGGATCAGAGTAAAATTCTGTCAAAGTAACAATAATACTCACATGTGACCACTTTTGTAACTTTTGGACATTGATCATGATGAATAAACAGTTTTTCTACTTTTCAATTAAATTCAAATAATTTTGGTAAAGCCCTGATTTGTAAGAGCACTTTACATCTCTGCTAAAGACGCACCTTTTCTTTTTGGCTTTTGACACTAAGTACAGCACTTTCTCAGCTCAGACTGTGCAGCACTTTGCTAAGCTCAGACTGTGCAGCACTTTGCTAAGCTCAGACTGTACAGCACTTTGCTAAGCTCAGACTGTGCAGCACTTTGCTAAGATCAGACTGTACAGCACTTTGCTAAGCTCAGACTTTGCAGCACTTTGCTAAGCTCAGACTGTGCAGCACTTTGCTAAGCTCAGACTGTACAGCACTTTGCTAAGCTCAGACTGTACAGCACTTTGCTAAACTCAGACTGTACAGCACTTTGCTAATCTCAGACTGAAGACGGAAGACGGATGGACGGATGGGGAGGATAACGTGTCAATCAATGTGTGTAGAGTGGACATGATGTGGAGACGCTTCACTCACGGCCACGGCTTTAACCAGGGGTGTCCAAACTTTTGAGTTCCCCAGACTAGTCCAGGCCCCGACATCACGGACTGAAAAACTGTCTTGACTGAGATCGGGCCGTTCTGAGATTAAAAAATGATCTATTACGGAGCTGAAGTTGGCTGAATGACACATGTTCTTTCTCACTAGCTATAGCAGAACCAGTCACAGAAGTGAACAATGAAAATTCATGTATGTAAAATAAAAAAAATACAAATTATAATCCCTTTTCCCATTTTTATTCAAGGCAAACGTGTAAAAAAGCCAAGAAACTTTTTAAAATTCATCTTTTGTATTTGTTTTTATTTATCCCCCTTTTGTCTGTTTCAAAAAGAACTAGGGCATTTAGGTTAATACTGATTTAATAATATTTTAAACCTATCATTGCCCTAATATGAGTTTGTGCACCAGTGCTTGGGAAACTCTGCACTAAACTTATAATAACGACACACAGCTGCTATAAATCTATCTGTCTATATCAATCTATCTTTCTAAATCTATAAATATCTATCTAAAGACAAAAGCATCTCTTCTTAAAACACTTTGGGTCAAAAATGATTAAAAGAAGAAGAAGAATATGAAGAGTAGGGTCTAAAAGGGTCTAAAAGTAAAAAGTCAGATCATAAATGTTTTATTTGGGGTTTATTTGAATAACTGCGGTGGGTCAATTTGACCCGAGTTGTAAATAATGAAAAAAACAGTGTAATTTCTGTGATTTTTAGTCCGTGTATTTCTTCCGTTAAATCCTCCTCGATCCTTTCCGCCGCTCGACAACGGAACATTCTCCGGGGACGGGTCTTTGACTGACACCGGCCCCCTCTATCTGTCATCAGGTATACAGCAGGTAAAATGTCAATTAGGAAGCGCCGCCCTGATGACTCAACTCCCCGTCCACCGCCTCTGCTCATTCTCATTCCCACTGTAGGCCTGGCTCTGCTCCGCCCGCTCCGTCCGCTCCACCCGCTCCACCCGCTGCGTCCAGGGCATTTTAATGGGGAATTACAGGTGTGTCTCAGTCTGTGTGTCTCAGTGTGTGTGTCTCAGTGTGTGTGTCTCAGTGTGTGTGTCTCAGTCTGTGTGTCTCAGTGTGTGTGTCTCAGTCTGTGTGTCTCAGTGTGTGTGTCTCAGTCTGTGTGTCTCAGTGTGTGTGTCTCAGTGTGTGTGTCTCAGTCTGTGTGTCTCAGTGTGTGTGTCTCAGTCTGTGTGTCTCAGTGTGTGTGTCTCAGTCTGTGTGTCTCAGTGTGTGTGTCTCAGTGTGTGTGTCTCAGTCTGTGTGTCTCAGTGTGTGTGTCTCAGTCTGTGTGTCTCAGTGTGTGTGTCTCAGTGTGTGTGTCTCAGTCTGTGTGTCTCAGTGTGTGTGTCTCAGTCTGTGTGTCTCAGTGTGTGTGTCTCAGTCTGTGTGACGTGCATCAGGGCTGTGTGGGTCTGACCGGAGGATGACATGTGTGAGTGGATAGAGCCGCAGAAGAAGATTCAGTGAGTTTGTTATATGCAGTAAAATCACATGTGTCAAAGCGCCATAGTCTGTAACCAGCAAATACCATAAACAAAACAAGTTAGAGCAGAGAGGATTCATGGTTTTACACTGGTCCAGACCAGAGCAGAGAGGATTCATGGTTTTACACTGGTCCAGACCAGAGCAGAGAGGATTCATGGTTTTACACTGGTCCAGACCAGAGCAGAGAGGGTTCATGGTTTTACACTGGTCCAGACCAGAGCAGAGAGGATTCATGGTCCGAACCAAGTGGATCAGGAGAAAATCCACAGGAGGAATGCTAACTTTATGTAAAATGCTAATAAAGCATTTAGTTTTTACTTTGGACCAGAGCAGAGAAAATGGTCTTAACCCATGTACCATGTACCATGTACCATGTGTCTTTTCTTTGGAAAACTCTGAATATTTGGGACTTCACTTCAAGTTAAAGTCGTACTTTCTCATAAAAACTAAACTATTTGAACCAAAAACTTTTTTTTTTCCTTCTATTTTTTACCAAAACTTAAAACTGGGGAATAAATAATTTTAAAACGTTGTTGTGTGAAGTCTATCTAAAGTCTAATCTTAAAGAACGAATGTCTGGAACAACCGCGGGAAAGGTAGGTGTGTTGTTAGGACCTGTGTCAAAATAAACTTGTGAGTGGTTTTAAAACAACCTTCACCTGACTCTGAATTACCTCCACATTAAGAAAGGTTTGGTTGACCATGTTTTGGCAAAAAGAATAGGTCGCAAGGCGGGTTGAATGCCCAGTCCTTTTGACACACCAACCCGTGTCACTCGGTGGGTTTGACCCAGGCCTTTGACCCAGGCCTTTGACCCAGGCCTTTGACCCAGGCCTTTGACCCGCCGCAGTGACATTTTACACTATTTTAGTTCTGGGGTTTCAAACCAGTCCTCAACCGGACTATTTCCTCAAGTGAGTCCTCAAGTGAAGACGTGAGGAAATGGGTGGAGTCTGTGGAGTCGGTTGTGCTTAGTTGGAGTGAAAACCTGCATCCACACCGGCCTGACCTAGAACCAGAGCAAATGATCTCCCGTCTTTTTACACGCACTTAACTCCTCTTGTTTACACTTCACCTTAAACGCTGCTTGGTTTACGGCCTATATTCTCCCAAAACAAAACACCTCTTCATACCGAGCCTTTCCCTTTACGACAGGCTGAGAGCTGAGAGGGGTCAGCGCAGTGCCTTGGCTTTACACGCGCAGGTTAACTAGCGACGCTGCCCCCTTCCCGCCGTCCCTCCATCTTTAAAGACCGCCGCGGACGCCATATAAGCGCTCTTAAAATATTGCAAGCTAAATCTAAGCGGGCTCTTATTTCAATATGGACTAGGGCCACTTGAATGGAGTAGATGTCAGGCTGCTAATATGGCCGGGCTATAACTCAGCGGGGGGCCATCAGTCATATACTCGAGATGTAAGTGCTACTGCTGCCCCGCGCTTTTGGTAACGGCGGCAAAACCCAACACACACGTTAACACACGCACACGCTAACACACACACATGCTAACACGCGCACACGCTAACACACACACACATGGCCCAGTCACACCACACGCTGAGCGACAATCAATGAATCTGCCATCAGAGGCTGAGTTACGAGCGCCTGAGAGTGGGCCTGCGAATATTTGGACGGAAAATGTAGATATAATTAATGGTTTGTGTAAAGAGGTGGAGAAATTGATGCATTTATTAAAGTCAAATCTAGAGAAGTGCGCCTCCTGGCCTCATATAGTTGCAAAGTCCAATACGCAGGAGCTCATAAACTGATAAACTGTTGGGATCTATCGCCGCGGAGTAAATCAGAGGTTATAGCGGTCTTGCTAGCTCCGGCGCGTGCCTGTGTGTGTGTGTGTGTGTGCGTGTGTGTGTGTGTGTGTGTGTGTGTGTGTGTGTGTGCGCCTGTGTGTGTGTGTGTGTGTGTGGCCGGCGTGAGGATGGCCTCTGGGGTAATGATGAGATGTTATGATACCACCCCACCCTTTCCAAAAAACAACCCCCCCACCCCACCCTACTCCACGCCTCTCCTTCAGCCTCCCCCCTACCCTCCCCCCTACCCTCACCCTCCCCCCCACCCTACCCCACCCACACGCACTGGTCCAGGGAGAGGCCACAGCGAAGGTGAACCTGTCATATCGATCTTTTTAGTGCTAAAATATGAGCCACTTTACTCTGCTCCCGGCGCAGTGATGTGAAAAATAATAACTCGGATCCAAATTAAAAATATTGATCGCGGAGGAGGTGTTGAGAGCAAATAAACAGCCCTCTGAAGGATTTTCTTGGACCCCCCCTCCCTCCTCTCTCTCTCTCTCCCTCCCTCCCTGCCCTCTCTCTCCCTCTCCCTCTCTCTCTCTCTCTCTCTCTCTCTCTCTCCCTTCCTCCCTCCTCTCTCTCTCTCTCCCTCCCTCCCTGCCCTCTCTCTCCCTCTCCCTCTCTCTCTCTCTCTCTCTCTCTCTCCCTTCCTCCCTGCTCTCTCTCTCTCTCTCTCTCTCTCTCTCTCTCTCTCTCTCTCTCTCTCTCTCTCCTCTCTCCCTCTCCCTCCCTCTCTCTCTCCCTCCTCTCTCCCTCTCCCTCCCTCTCTCTCTCCCTCCCTCCTCTCTCCCTCTCCCTCCCTCTCTCTCTCCCTCCCTCCTCTCTCCCTCTCCCTCCCTCCTCTCTCCCTCCCTCCCTCTCTCCCTCCCTCCCTCCTCTCTCTCTCTCTCTCTCTCTCTCTCTCTCCCTTCCTCCCTGCTCTCTCTCTCTCTCTCTCTCTCTCTCTCTCTCTCTCTCTCTCTCTCTCTCTCCCTCCTCTCTCCCTCTCCCTCCCTCTCTCTCTCCCTCCCTCCTCTCTCGCCTCCCGCCTGGGTGTCTGTCCCGGGCCATGAGGGCAGGTTAGAAATGCAGCTTGATGTGTAAAGGGGGAAATATATAATGTATATATAGAAAAACATCGTGTTATCAGTTTACTCAGTTCATAACGACTGCGGTCTCCTCCCCCCAGAGCCAAACATGTTTATTATTAGAGGAGTGCATTTAAAAGAGGGAGGAGAGCAGAAAAGAAAGTTGTCAGAAAGGACACATAGAGCAAAATGGCCTTTTTCAATTCAATGTATTTATGTGAAGCCCTGAATCATAACTTAAAAAACTACAGATCAGAGCACTTATTCTTTTTATTTAAAGAAGCTATTCCTGATTTATTTTCTAATGAGTTCATTAAAATGGCGCGGTGCTGAGAGGACTGGGCAGCAGTCAAAGGCGGAGACCTCGGCGACCCAGTCCACACACACTACATCTGGCTCTTGGGACGTGGAACGTCACCTCACTGGGGGGGAAGGAGCCCGAGCTCGTGGGGGAGGTTGAGCGATACCGACTAGAGATAGTCGGCCTCACCTCCACACACAGCTTGGGCTCTGGAACCCAACTCCTTGAGAGGGGTTGGACGCTCCACTTTTCTGGTGTTTCCCGCGGGGAGAGGCGGCGAGCTGGGGTGGCCATTCTCATTGCCCCCCATCTCAGCTCCACGTGTTAGAGTTCTCCCCG